AAAAAAAAAAAAAAAAAAAAAAAAAAAAAAAAAGGGTGGGGGGGTGATCTTCAGTGGGGATCATTCTGACCGACTGAGGAACTCTGCATTGATTTTCCAGGGAAACCCTCATAGGTATATCCAACCAAGAGAGTTCATTTAATTCATGAATAATTAATGTTCTGTTGGAGAGATGGCCTGTATGCAGATTTGTCAAGGCATGTCCTAAAGCCTTGTCCTCCAGTGCCTTTATTTACTAAGTCATGCTGCCCTTTAGATTATCAATGCATATATTTACTGCAACAACATTTCTCTGATATATTGGAGGAAAAAATACTGCTTTCTTATGTGTGTTTTTTGCCTGTCTGCTTTTTTTTTGGGGGGGGGGGGGTCTCTTTAAGTTATATGCTTGGGAGAAGGTAAGTGTTGAAGAATGTTTGCAGATACACTGCAAATAGAATAGGAGTCTGAACTCTTGTAGGGCTTAGTTAAGACATATAATCACAAATAGGAAAAATTTACATTAATATTTGCTAGTTTTAGCAACATTTCACTTGGCAGTGTTGCTGCAATATTTCTCCTCTCCAAAGTGAATACTTTTGTGCTGTGCTTTTCCTGTCTGACAAACTTTTTCTGATATTTAAGAGAATCGCTGTATTCCAGTGAAGACAGGTTGGTTTTTGAAAGAGATTCCAATAACTTAGAATGAATTTATCATGGTATTTCTACAAACAGGTTGATAAAAACTCGATAAAATAATTTCAGAATAGGCTCATTGTCCAATGAATACTGTATTTAAATTGCAATATCCTTGTTACTACTTATCATTATGCCATTAGTTTATGGTATACAAGACTTAAGAAACTTGGATTGTTCTGTTATGTGAACCAAAATAAACTGCTGCATAAAGGTATGATGTGAGGTCTCTGTTCGCCTTAAAATTTATGCATGCTTATTAACAGAGCCTGAACACTAATGATAAATTTGCACTGCATCTATAGCAGAACAGTTCATCTTTGCTGACAACAGAACTATGACTAATTTATAAACATAGTTATCCAGAAATTTGTGGAGGTCATTAGCATTTTAATGAAAAAGATACAGCTGTTGTACTAAATCTTTACTTTTTTTGTTTTGTTTTGTTTTATTCTTCCACCCCCAGTTAAACATTTCGATCTTGTGCTTTGAAAACAGCTGACAACGTGTGGTAATGTGCTGACTGGCATTATGGGCAGACGATACCCAGGGGCTCACTATCGTCCAAGCAGCTCATGTATGTATGTGATTTGGTTTCAATATCTGTCATTTGTATTAGTTTGGAAGGCTGGCTAAATTCTCTATTGTTTATTTTAAAGGCATTTGTTGGAAAGTTTATAAGTTCTAAAGTAGCCTTTATAGTGGTCACTGAAGCATTCTAATAAATGCCATGTTTCTGATATTTATAGACCAAAATTATATTACTCAGATTGCATTTATTTATGCATTCAAGCTGTTAAAATAATTTCTAGAACTTTAAAAATGATGTACAGACTAAGTGTACTCTATTGTGTGTGCAAGGTCTTCAGCTTGTTTTACTTTGTGCAACCCAGTGCCTGCAGCCTTCCTTTTTCCCCACACATCTGTACTTTAAGTACTAGAAATCTCAACATAGCTTGGAGCATAACATGAAAATAAATCAAGCTCCTTTCAACACTGTGCACTATAGCTTTAATTGCTTACAAATGCAACTAACCGTTCTGGTTTATTATGGAATGTTTCCCTTCCCCTCTCCCCCTTCTTAATTCGGCTTAATACTTGTTTAAACTTTCTGTGTTTTCTTAGCTGAAAAGCAGTTTAGGGCCATTTGGCTATGTCTCAGCTGACATGAGTAGACTTATCTCTTCCTGAAGGATCTTTTCAGTAAAGAGTGTAAATATCTCATAAACTTTGTGGCTTGCACCTTTTACCTGGTTAGAAGGCCTGTCAGCAGCTGTCTGTACAGTTAGTGTCAACAGGAATCCCTGAGCCTGCAGGCTTGTTGTGTTACAAGGTAGGTGAAATGATCTTCCCTGGAGGAAGTGCGCAACATTCCCTGACTCGAGAGGAATGCCGTCAATCCCTGTGCTTAACTTTTGATACCTCAGATCACTGAAGTAAACCTATAGCATTGTATTTACTGCATTGTGCCTCTGCAGTGTATTTAGGAGCGGTATTTCTTTGAAATATTGAGACAGTTTACATGTCCTTATCTTTGATACTAGAGCTGGAACTTGACCTGGCTTGTTTTTTTGGTCCTAGGCTAAATTCAGGTCATGAATTATATTTTATTCTCCAGGGAAGGGCAGCTCTCTAATACTTTTGTGTCAAAGGCTTATTGGAAGCAACACAAAAGCGGTACCTGGTTTTGAAAATAATATTGACGTATAGGTGATACCCAAACTGGAGGAAGTGAGAGTTACAATCTTGGCTGCTGTATTGGAGTTGAGGTCTAGGCAGAAGCAGGAGCTAGGGCAGGAGCTAAGAGCTAGGCAACACAGGAACTGGGGCTGCATCTGAGGGTGTAGGCAATTCAGGAACTGGTATAGGAGATGACAGACCAGATTTAGAAGCAGTTGGAGAATTGGGAAGAGCTAGAGGTTTTGGAGCACTAAACAGTTAACGCTTATTTTATAGGACTGGCTTTATGCCTTGGACATAACTGCCTGTGGTTAACAGAGCAATTAGATATAGATGGTGCCATTCTGTGGTTAGGCAGCTCCTGTCACGTTTTAACCTGGGTTTGAAGCATTAACTTTACAACAGGTCTCTTACTTCCAGGTGGGAATTCCTTTCACTTCCCAGTCTCCCTGTCCTCACCAGAGCTCTCCTCTTGTGGGTGCTTTGTAGAACTTCTCCATTCATCAGTCTCATCACTCTGGGAGCCCTACCTACACTTTGTTTCTTGTCTTTTAACCAGGTCTTGATCCACGGAAGAAACTTCCCTCCAATCCTGTGGCAACTCTGCTTTGATGGTGGGGAGGGAGGGGTGGTTTTGTTTTTTAAAAGAATTTGCTGAGGGATTTTGTCAAAAACTTTTTGAAAATCCAAATAAGTCAGCTGGATTTTTTTTGTCTACATTTTTGTTAACATCCTCAAAGAAGACCAGGGTTAGGGACAGACATTCAAAAAGTCTGAGCCTGAATTGAGTCACTATTTGCAGGCTAGTCTAACTTGCCTAGATTGAACTGGTTTGTAACTGGACAGACATTCTCTCTGGACTGAGGAAATGCAGGCACATGTCTGCAGTGGCTCAGGCTAGAAGCCAGGGGGTGCTAGAGCAGCCTTTCCTTCCCTTCTAAAATGCTGAGCTCAGGGGGGTGTGGCCAGGCCCCAGCAGCAGGCTCTGATTAGGGAGGTCTGCCTGCACCATTCCAGGCTTTTCCCTGCTTGCTGCTCAAGGAGCGGGAGTGTTGCCAAACCCTGGCCCCCTGCTAGGACTCTGAGGCAAGGGGGAATACAATGCATGCATCTGTTGATGATATGGAGCTTTTCAATCTCCCTGCTTTTTCATACTGTCTGCAGCAAACTGACACGGAGGCCAGCAGGGGGCTGATAACAGTGTTTATCACCCCATCAGCAAAACAGTAGCCTCTCTCCATTAGTTCAAAGGTTTCTTGAACAATTTACCAGATGACCTGTTGATTAGCTCCAAAAAGCCCTAAGCAGTCACTGTTCTGTCTGCCTGTCCCAGTGAAATTGGACGCACGCACGCACCCTCTCTCTCAGCAGTAGGTAGCCATACCACTTGCCTACGGTTCATGGGACTGGTGTCTGTGCTGTGGGAGATGGAAAGAAAGGAGGGGAGATTCCTGCTTGAACGGTGAGCAGCAAGGAAGTGTAGGGCAGGGAGAAGCCAGGCAGACCCTGGTGTACCTGCAGTCTCTGCCAGACCTCCAGCCAGGGAGCAGAAGGGAGGGTCCAACTCTCCTATGGACCAGAGAGCATGCCGGGATCCTGGGGGAGTGTGGCTTATTTTAAACCAGCAACGGGTCTGGGACAGACATTGCATAAACCAGTTTGACCCAAATCAGTTAAGTCTGATACTGCATTCAACCAGGTTTATCCCAAACCAGTTTCAGCCATTTTCAAACTGGTTTATATGCATTGAATGTCTGTTCTGTTACAGATTTAAACCAGTTTCCGATCACTTAAACTGGTTTATGTGCAATGTCTGTTCCTGGTTCAGCAGATGCATGAGGGAGGATTTCCCTTTACAAAAAACAGCCTGACTTTCCCAGCAGATCATATTTGTCCATGTGACTGCTAATTTTATTTTTTTATTATAGATTCAGCCAACTTGCCCTGGATGGGGGTGGGGCTCAGGTCTCAGGATCAGTTCTGGAGCTCTTTTTGAAAACGGGTGTTATGTTGGCCATCTGCCAGTTGTCTGGCATAGACACTGTTTGTAATGATAGGTTACATATTAAAGTATTGCCAACAGGTCTGCAGTTTCACCTTTGATTGTCAGATGAATGCCATCCAGTCCTGGTGTCTAGTTAGTGTTTATCAATTTGTTCTAGAACTTCTTCTGTTGTCACATGAATATAATCCAACTCTCCAAACTTATCTACTAGGCAGAACTAATCTGATACAGGAATTTCCCCAGTATCTTCTGTAGTAAAAACTGACACAAAGAATTCATTTAGCTTCTCTGCTGTGGCCCTATAGTCCCTGGGTGCACCTTGTGTAATCTAATAGTCCCATTCTCCCCATTCTGATTCTCCCACTAGTGCTTCCTGCTTCTGATATAATTTTTTAAAGTTTTTATTATTAACTTTGGCTTCTTTTGCTAGTTGCTACTCATTCTTTTTTGGCTTGACTTTCACTTTTACATTTAATCTGCTAGAGTTAGTAAGCTTTCCTTTTTTAATGTAAATAGAGGAATTTTAATTCCATGACAATCTCAATGCAATCTTATGTATTTTTTTTGTTTGTTTTTTATAGTTATTTGTTTTAGAGTATACCATTTCATGAAAAATGACTAACAGATTCCAAAAATGAGGAAAGTAAAAGTTAAAGGACAAGCTTTCTGGGAACTTCAATAGCAGCTCCCCTTTTTTAAAAAAAAGTTTTTCTTCAACCAAAGTCTTAAAAAGGCAAAGACAAGGTTTGCAGGACATGATATAGAATCATAACATGCGCCAGGGGCCTGGCACAATTAAGATATTAATTGTGCCAGAAATAGCAAATGTCTGCATTTGTAGAATTTGTGGTGTATAAAATCCAAAAAACAGCCATAAAGGTATTACTCAAACAATGCGTAATATCTTTGTGGCTGGTTTATTTGGAGCCATAACTTGGACATGTGGCATGGCATGCAGAGACTGCCTCGGGGCTGGAGCCCTAGAGCAATCTTGATTACCTGATTTTCAGTTGGCAGGGATGTCCTGGGACTTGAATCCTGGGGCAGTCCCTGCTAGCTGATGAAGATGAGGAAGGCCACGGGGCTGTCTCAATCAGCTGATCATTGGTTTCAGAATTCTGTAGCAAGACAACTCTGCCACCGTGTCCCAGGGTAAATTAATTAATCTTTCTAAAAATATGGGGTCAAGCATTGCTATCATTTTCATTGGTGTAAATCAGGAGTGATTGGATTGATGTATTCAAGATTTAAGTTTGCATAACTATGGAAAGATTTTTTTGCCCCATGATTTCTAACTTAAGGTTGTATTTTTAAGGACAAAATGCAGCCTTAAGTTTGACCTTCGTGGCCTTGGACTTCCTGGCAAACAAGCACAAGCTTTTCTGTAAATAAATGAGTCTTCAAGGAGAAATTCAGATACTGTGTGGAACAACAGTCTTGTTATTCTCTACATGATAATGAGATAATCTTCAATCCATCTGTGAGATCAACTCTTCGTTGAATTATTTTGTAAATATAGTATTGTGTATTTTTAGGCATATAGTGTAAGGTCTTATGTTTAAGGAATGCTACAATCAATTTAAATTACAAACAGCTTATCTACATGCCAAAAGTAATAGATTCAGCTTTTCCTGGATGTGCTTAAAATGCAGATTTTTCATGCACAAAAAGACACAAATAACCCCATCTCTTAAATGTAAGGTGCATGAAGGTGTGAATCGAGTGAGTTTTGATTTTCTGGGCAATATTTGGTCACCAAAAGTAGCTGAAAAATGTCCATGCAATTCATACTTGGATTTTAAAAGAGCAGCACCTTAGTTAAATTTGGGGTGAAGCATATTTACTTCCTGGAAGGGAAAGAGTGTATAAAGCTTCCCAGATAAGCTGCCCCCTCTC